CACAATTTTCCAATAGTTTTTTTTGCGTTTTAACTGGTTAAAATTTTTCACTAACTTTACCAATGTCATTTTACTGCAACAGTATCGTTGGCTATAAGAGTGATAACATTTTAACGTTTGAAGTGTTGTATGTGTGTTTTTTTGATGCTATAGTTTTTATACTTCTGCATCTTGATATCGTATGTACGTTTTTTCTTCCCAAAAAGAGGGAAGGAAAAAAGATGTTAACTGAACAAAAAAAATAGACTTTTTTTTTTTGCTTTAGATTTTCACTTTTCAAAAATAATACTGCTTTTTTTTAATAACTGCCTTCTTTTTTGTTTTGCCTTTTTTATTCCTCCACTTTTTGTTCATTTATTTGGTGTGTTTTTTTTTTTCTTTGCTAAATCCGTATTTAGTATTGGAGTGATTTGTTTCGTTTTTTGTTGCCTCCTTTCCTTTACAACCCATTTATTCATTAGAAAGAGAGGAAAAAAGAAAATTTCAATTTAGGACATCTTAGATTGAACTTTCAATAGTTGTTCTGCAATATTGATGTTGTTGCTGGTGCTGCTGTTGCTGCTGTTTAAAAATTTATTCCAGTTTTGAATATATAACCAATAAAATTGTTGGTTTTTAAGTGTCTGTGTCTGCGTGTTTTTGTTCACAGATCAACGATTACCGTTCTTTGCTGGTATCATTTGTTGTTTCCTAGTTAAGGTAATTGAAAATTGACATCTATACATCTGTAGAATGAACGGACGGTCGTCGTCGTCGTCGTCGTAACGATAGCATTACTGTTCTTTTTTTTCTTTCAGATTCAATTTTACAGTTGATAGAAGAGTATCTGATTAGTTTGGCGTAGTTTATAGATGTCAACTGTAACGGCAACCGAATGCTAAAAAAGCTGTTCCGTATCTTTTTTGTATCCTTTATCGGTATTATAATTGTTAGTTATATTATCCGAAATGAGGTTGTTGCTGTTAAGAAAATGATAGATGTATTGGATTGATATCATTTGAATGTTTTTTATTCATTTATTTATTTTTTTATTGTATTTAAACAGGTAATAGTTTATTTGTATGGAAGTCTGTTGATCATATGCATGATTTTTTTTTCCTTTTTTTTTTCAGAGATCTTTTCTTTAGAAAATTTTGACTGATGACAAATTGTCTGGCAACACAAATTATCAATAACAGCGACTGTGTTTAAGCATAGTTTACTGTTGTATGTATCTAAAGTTTCATGCAAATTCATTTTTCATTCTTATCGATTCCGTAGAGCGACAGATTGAAGATGAAGCAAATTTGAAGTTTTAATGCGACAGGAGAACAACATTATTATTATTATTATCGTTGTTCTTACTATTATTATCATTATTATTATTAATACTATTATTTATATTATTATTATTTTGTATAGTTTTCTACTGGGGATCATTATTTTAGTGAGAAATTTGTGTATATAATTACTAATTGTTGGGGCAGATATTATTTGACAAATGATTGGTTATGTGATGGAAGTTGGTAACATTTAATCTGCTCATTCAGATGTTATTAGTAGTTATTAGTGCAAATGTTCTGATCTTTTTTTTTTTTTTTAACTTTTGCTTTTAGTAGGTTTACCTCGTTAACCTATTTCTTTTACGTCTGCATTAAATTACTTCAAGTTGTCCTTCTTGTTTTTTTTTTCTCCATTGATTTTTTTTTTTCTAGATATAGTTCAAGTAGTTTTTTCTTTTCGTTTATACGTTAATATAATGTATATTATATTGTACAGTTTTAAAAAGAAATTCTTTTTTTTTTTTTAGGTTGGTATTAGGAATGGAACCTTGGAGAGAATGCGTAAAGTGGATGATGGAATGCGGAGTTTTAGATGTAACACATCGTGTTGGAGAAGAAAATGCTACATTAAATGAATTTGCAATGATTCTACGTGATGGAGTCTTACTGTGTATGTTATGCAATCGTTTATCACCAAACTGTATTGATACAAAAGACTTACAGCAGAGGCCACAAATGGCTCAGGTAAATTTAAATCAGTTTTTTTTTTTCCCCCTGTATAAATTTATGTAAAAAATTGATGCTGTTTTACCAATCTTTTTTCACTTCTTCTATTTTTCCTTCTGCTTCAAACTTTTAAGATCTTGTAAATTCCTGGATTAGACTCAGAAACACGAGTATTTTTAATTGCATTTATGAGTTCTTTTTGATGTATTGAAGTTTAAAATTGCTGAAGTAAGCTTTTTGGAAAAAGTTTTCGATTTATCACTATCTTCTAACTTTTTTAGACGTCCTATTTATTTCCTGAACAAGCCATTGCTAGGGAAGTCGGAAAGTGATAGTATATTTCTTGGACACTTCTATTTAAAAGACCTGTTTTTTTTT